ATCTGTAACAGGGTAATCTCCAGGGAAGAGGAGGTTTCAGGTTCCCAGCCCCACACAAAGAGGGGTGGAGCTAAGCAACCAGGATAAGCTAAAGACAACAGGGTGAAGGAAGATGGAGATCAAAAAGAGGGCCTGGAGGAGGCAGATGGAGTAGAGAGATGTGAAGAATCTGTTTGCTTAGACATGCCTTAGACTTGCATTAGGGACTTGGGAGACATGGAAGGAGAAACTTGAAGGGGACAGAGATGTGGGACAGTGACCCTGGGAGAAGGCTGACAGTGGCAGCCTTTATCTTGACTTAAGATTTGATTTGCTCCTTTCATTGCAGGCTTGCCTGGTCCCTTCTGCCCCTTTTCTACATATCCCCACCAGCAGGTGCCTTAGACTGTGGCAAGCTTTTGAGCCTTAGCAGTCCTGCTTTGGGCTAACCCTATTTGGCTGAACATTTACTCATGAGGTGATGGGTAACTTTGGGTACTTGATTTAGAAACTACATCCTTTCTCTTCTCTCCGTACGTAGCACATTAATTGCACTCAAGTTTTGTTTTTTTTTTTCTTTGAATGCCATACACGCTAAAGTATGTTTTGCTTTGATGTGGCAAGTAGCAGAAGCTATTTAGAACAGGCAGGGGACTCCAAGGGAGCACTTCACCATTCTCTGTAACAGTTACCTTTCCCAAGACCTATGCGAGAGGGTCTCTGACTCGAGATACCTACTCTGGATTACTATTCAGCTGTCGAGGACTCTTTCAACTCAGGATAAAACTCGTCCTTCCTACTACTAGGGTTTCTTTTCATTGTTAGCCTTGTAGCCTCCAAGAAAGATGTCTAGCTTTCTTTCTGCCTTAACCAAGACATTCCTTAATACATCTCAGCCACCAGATTTCCTTTTTAAATAAATTCCTTCCCATTTTAATGCATACATCCCAACAAGTATTTGTGCCCTCAGGATCCCAGAAACTAACTATACCAGAGTACTTGAGTGACTTTCCAACAGCTCTCATTCCAGACCCATTAGTGGAGGATGGCAACATACTAATTAGTACATAATTAAAATTTATAGACTTTTACTAGAAAGGCCTCTGAGAAAGTAATTGAGACAAGTCCTAAATTATAGACAACCTAACAATAGTTTCCAACAGCAAGTATCTGGGTACAAAACCCATGCCACACCCTTATCTAAGCCCTATACATGTACTATTCATGTAATCCTCCAAAAGCCCTAAGAAGCTAAGTGGTACTATCACCCCTAATCTACAAAAGGGGATAATGAGGGATAAAGAGAATAAGGAATATACAAAGAGCAGAACCACGATTAGAACCCAGGCTAAATGACTCCAGATCCTACCTTCCTAACTGCAGGGTGAGAGGAAAAGAGTGCTGAGGCAATGATGGGAGTGGCAGGCAGACAAGCAGTACATGTAAGAGCCCCTGGAAAGAGAAAAGTCAGCCAGAAGATAGTAAGTCCCACATGCTGATGAATCTGGGAAGCAGCAGATAGATTCAAAATGCACACTGGAATTTGACTGGCTAAGATGTACTCACAGATATATTATGGGGGATGTAAAAGAGAAATAAGAATCAGGATGATTCTCAGCTTACCCTGGAAGTCAAAGCTTGAGGAAAATGTTTCCAGATGGCCAACCAGTTTAACACAATAAATAATAAACTCTTGTGACACATTGATGAACAGTGTGCTCTCAATAATATAATCAATAGATAAGGTAGGTTAAAGCTTCCGGCATCCCCATCCACCATACTTTTCTACAGGAGGGTTCCATCCTACCCCCTGGAGATACTCTCCAGGACGGTCAGCACTGACTAACAACAAGGATAAAGGTTACTGCTACAGTGACAAGAATAGCTTCTACCAGGGGGAGGGTTTTTCTCATAGAAATGTAATGCATTTAACCAGCATTCTCAAATTTTCTGAAAAGCACAATTATACTAATTTACAAATGAAAGCTAAGCAACTTGCCCAAGGCCACATAATTGAAGAGGCTAAAGGAGTATTCAAACTTACTTCAGCCCAATGGAAGTCCAAACCTTCTCCATAATTAATTTAGGTGAGCTTTTTTAACATTTAACAGCATGGCCTCATTTTAATATGTATAATAATGTATGTATGTGTGCAAGACAAAAATAAGTAAAACTAAAAATAATTTATACATAAATCTGATGTAAATTTTACATATATATAATATATATATATATATATATACACACACACACTCTGCCTAAAAAATATACCAAGTTTAACAGTCAGTTCAAAGAAAATATTAGGAAAAAGTACAGGTGATACAGGGACAGAAATCTTAAGGCAATTCATAAGTAACTGAAGTTTATGAAGCACTGCTCACCACACAACCACAATAGAACAGCCAAGCACCTGTTCTATTTTGTACTCAAATTTGGCTACAGTCACACATAACTCTGATGCTTTTCCAGGAAGATAAAATGTTGACTGCTTTAGAGGAGAAGAGAGTAACATTAAAGCAACACAATTTAGCATAAATCATCCTAAAGGTGGTATTAGTTTAATACTGGTGTGGTGGACCATCTCCCCTGCTCATTCACCATGTATGTTCATGAAATCAGCTAAACTTTCCTAGGCTTCAGTTTCACTTTGTTGAAAGGAAGTTATGAAAAATAGACCATAAGGTCATAGTTTTAGCATTCCATAAAACCCCAAATTTATTTGATGCAGAATCAGGGAGGCACAATCCAGATACATGTCAACCTGAAGGGTAAATGCTAAATAAGCATCCCAATTCAACACACCTTAACAGGGGTGAGGCTGCCAATTATACTGCCCTCTGGAAAATAAGGCAAGACATTAATTACAAGATGATAAAGATGATAAAGATCAGCCAATCAATGCCCCTGTCCCACCAAATCATTAAGAATTTCCTGCCACTAATTTTTCAGTTACTAACTTTCTTTACATTGTATCCTTAGTGTCTGTTATTTCCCCAACAATTAGCTTTATTATGAGTGAGAATAACCAGGAGAAAAAGAGGTCAGTGAGAAATATCAAAACCTCATCAAACTCCATCCCCTCCCCTTGGGTTAAGTATCTGATGAGAAGTAACTGGACAACCTTCTCAGCTTCAAATGAATTACCCACTGATGCTCCAACATGTTTAATCTTTAAAAGTTATCATTCCTGGGCCGTCCCTCATGGCTCAGCGGGTTAAAGCACTGCA